CAGATGCATTTTCAGGTGATTAGTGCCAGTTTTGCAATTGTCTACTGACCCATTATCACTTTAGGTAGAGAGGCTGAGCAAGATAAAAAGAAGGAGCGAGATATACCGCATACCCAGACAGAGACATAGGGCAAGTGGTACAGACAAAACCTCCCACACTGTCTTGAATGCATGGACGTCTGTCCCTCTGCTCAACCCACACGGCAGATCCGTGTCACAATCACACAAACACAACCTGCTGTGCCTTCTTCACTCCAGCCTGTAACCCACTTCTTCCTGAGATCACACAGCGGCATATCCTTTTCATAGCTCCTGTTGCGTTTGAGTGACAAGGGCCCAGGAAAAAAGGAGGGGAGGTGGAGTAGGTTGGGGAAGGGGGGGGTGGGGGGGCGGGATCACTGCCATAAATACAGAATCAACAAAGGTAAAAAACAAGATGGAAGACAGAATAAACAGCGTAAGTGAAACGTGTTGAAGGCGTTGTGTGTGTGTGTGTGTGAGAGAGAGACAGAAGTGCTGGCGATAAACAGGTTTATTTATGCAAGCAGTGTACAGCAGCCAAACGCCGGCCTCCTAGGGTCTGACTCACAATGAAGCTCTATAAAAAGACCCAGCTGCACGTATGATCACACACACACACAAGCAGCAACTTTGTCAATCAAACACTGATGTACAGTCATTCCCGGCGGCTTGTCACAAGGGCTGAGACTAAGGTATATACACGCACACGGCAGCCTGTTCGGTTTGCCAGCGACTGAATGTCCTCAAATAACCTCTCTGATATCCTAAAGGCGTAAAACACATACAGAAAAGAACAGTTTAAGGTTCATCTGCACAGAGAAACGGCATCATTTCAGATTCAGTGACATGCAGCACTTTTGATCTCGGCTGCGGCGGCATTTAAAATTCCCACGCGCTCGAGAAAACCCTCATTAGGACAGCGAAACACCAAAACCTCCAGCTGAAGCGAGCCCCGTTAAAAATCAGCCGGAATCTCAGCTGAACGAGCGTCACACATCAGCCGTGAGCAGCGGCGGAGGCAGCAGCAGCAGCAAGGAAGAACACGGTGGATGAGTGCAAACCTCTGGAGCTGCCTAACTGCCCTTCACTGTTGTCACATAACAGTCCGCTTGTCTGATGTGGAGATAGCCGAGAGGAAGCGAGGGCTTTGATCCTTAATGGGGCCATGTCTGCGCTGTGGAAATGACATTCATGGCTTGTATTTACACAAGCACAATTATGGAGGTAATTTGGTTGGTGGACAATCAATTAGAGTGAAACTATGTCCGAGTAATAACACAGATTAAAGGAAAGGTTATGGCTGGAGCCTATTTGGGTGTAAATGAGGAAAACGGGCTTCTGCTAAATAAGCCCAAGAACACATTAACCTTTAGATCTACAGCCAACCTTAATAGCTCCGTATGCTTCAAACAAAGTGCCCGTCTTATTGTCTAACCGCGTCTGCAGCCCTCTTTCTAATGACAGACTCGGGAGTGGGTGTTTGACATTTTTTATAGATGATCTTTATGCAGAGGTTAAACCAGATGTGGCTTGATCTCCAACTTAAAAAAAAAAAAATTTGCACCTACTTCTGTCAGTTCTCGTGTTTACAGTAAAAAAAATCACCCAGGAGACAATATCCGGGCGTAAAACATCTCTTTTTGATGTAAAGGTAAAAAGAGGACGCAGATATTGTTACCGTTTGAAGCAAATACCCATCAGCAGGCGCAGGTTCAGGAAACAGCAGCTAATAAATACCACGTGTGTCGGCTCGGTTGCGTCAGTTACAGTGATGACGTCAATTTTGGGGTTAATGGGACTCTTGCTGATTCAGATTTTTAGTTCACTGTTACACTTCAATGGATGAGAGCAACACTACAACCATATTGAATTTAATCCCCCCATGCCTCACACAACCCAAGTTTACATTCTTTCCTTCACGTTGCATGGTGCCTCGTGTTAATCCTTACATTTGTCATAATTACGTTGTTTATGTAAGGTTTTCTCTAAAGCTGCCTTAGTCGTGACACGCTGCTTAGTTTCTGTATTTATGTACCAAGGCTCTGTAGCTAGCGTGCAAGGCGTGCAAGGCGCAACTATAAATCAAGCTGAATTTATACAGGCTCACTGTCACTTCAGTAAGTACACCTGTTTAACTGCTCGTTAACGCAAATATCTAATGAGCCAATCAGCTTCTCAACACATTTAGGTGTGTTAGACATGCTGAGGACACCTGCTGAAGTTCAAAATCAGCATCAGAAAGGGGACAAAAGGTGATTTAAGTCAGCTGGATTGTGGCATGGTTGGTATGAGTATTTGATGGGATTTTTACACACAGCGAACAGCAGTTTTCAGGGAGAAAATGCCCTGTTGATGTTGAAACTGAGGTATGCAGAAGAGCATCTTTGAGCGCACAACATGTCGAACCTTGAGGCAGATGGACTGCAAAAGACCACACCAGGTGCCACTCCTGCCATAATATAATGAAACCCAGGCTACAGTTCACCTGGATAAGATTGGAAAAATGTTGCCTCTGATGAGTTGTGATTTCTGCTGCAAAATGCCAATGGTAGGGTTAGTAGGTTTAGAGCAGTGGAGTTGGAGTAAACAACATAAAGCTTGGATCCATCCTGGCTTATATCAATGGTTCACACTGCTGGTTGTGGTGGAATGTAGTGGGGGATTTTTTTCTTAGTACCAAATAAGAATCGTTTAAGCCTGCCTGAGCACTCTTGGCGATCATGTCCATCTCTTTATGACCACAGTGTGCCGATCTTCTGATTTCTGCGTCCAGCACGATAACGCACCATGTCACAAAGCTCAAATCATCTGGTTTCTTGAACATGACATTGAGTTCATGTTAGTCAAATGGCCTTTAAAGGCTGGAAATCTCAATCCAATAGAGTCAGCTGCAGCAAGTGAGAGATGCTGTCATGTCATGTTTCCAGAACCTCCAGTCATGAAGAATTAAAGCACTTCTGAAGGTAAGATGTCCTTAATAACGCGGCAGATGAGTTTATATTTAAGCATTAAGAGTAAAGAGACGTGGAAAGGAAATACAATTCCTGTAGAAAATGGTGCAACAAGGACACGATTATGAGGTCTTTGCCCCCTTCAAAATGGTCCCATACTGAACATATGTAAGTAGGTAATGGTTTATGGGGACTGTACATAAATGTATGAGTAGCTAACGTTGAAGCAATGCAAGAACACAACCATTGTTATTATTATTACTTATTAACAACTATCAAGATTTTTTAAACCAGTGTTGCACTGTCAGCATCTGTAAGACTGGATGATTCTGTGTTAGTTCATCAAATGTCTCCCATCTGACTGTCTCAGAATTACATGAGAATGAATTTGTGTACCGCAGCCAAAGATGGAAAGTTAAAATCTTGCTCTGCTTTTGAAACAATTTGTGCACGCTCACGGCCCAGAAAAACATTTTTTTTGGCTAAGACGAGAGGATGTGTGCCGGGTGCTTTTACAACACTCACTGGCCATGAAACACGCCAACTTTTTTAAAGCTAATCTGTGATGGATCGATGAAAGTTTTCTTTTTAAATTTGATCAAAGACACCAGCTGATCTACCTGAAATTTAAAGACTCAGGAGCTCAGTACCACGTCCCAACCTAACTTGAATACTGAGCAGCAGCCATGTTCACATACAGTCCCTGCTATTAAAACTTGTCTCTCTAAGTGGTTGGAAATGATGTACAAAGTACTTTCATTTGGGTTGGGTGCTCCCAGAGACACGAAAACCCTCGGCACTTTTTCTTTTTTTAAAACTATGCAATAATAATAATGCACTTTAACGTGCAAAACCCCAGACACTGTCAATGAGAGGAGAGGCAATGTAATTACAAACACCATGCAAACCACCCTTTCGCATACTTCCTTAGATGTACAGGCATGCGCTGAAGATGCTGTGTTGTAATAGCTATGTTTCCTCTGTGCACTTCGTCCAGAAACAACACGCTCTACAAAGGCTTTGTGCTGAAAGACTAAATTCCTGCTGGTTTGACACTCCTCTCTCCTTTCTGTCTCTTTTTTTCCCCATTCTTCTTCTCCTCTGTCTCTGCCTGGGCAGCAGAATCAGCACATCAAATAAATACAGAGCAAAGGGAATCGTGTTTCATTTGGAGACAGCGGGAAAAAGGTCACGGACAACGGCAACACGCGAACTGCGGGCGTCAGAAGAAAAGCCGTTCCAGTGCAAATACGTGCAGACGCCTCTCTTTGAAATCCAATCTGATTTAAGGGATTTAATAACACCTCCAAACTGTCCAAAAATCAATTCGAGCCCATGCATTCCTCACCTAGCATACAGAGCACCCAACAGACAATGGCTCATTATGAAGCCACCAAATGTTATTATCATCAAAAAGCCTCTGAGCTGGAGACTTTGGAGACGGGGTGACCATTTTGCGGACTCCATCATCGGCTTGGGTTTGAGCCGCTGGTAAAAACACAAAGTGGTGCGCAGAGGCAGAAACACTGGGGCCGAGGACTGTAGCCTTTGGCCTGAGATTCAAACAGCCGACTTGCGGCGGTCTTTATCTGAAACAACCACAAACCCCCCCCAACTACTCTTTACAGTTCAAATGGGGTCTTAAGCAGAAAGGCAATGCTAAACAGTGATGGGGAGATGGGATTTCAAGGTCTGGGACTGTAGTTACACAGCTAATCTTGGTTAACATGCATTTTGTGGTCATTGAAAAACAAAGGCAATGGCATAGCTCCCCCTAAATAAGGGATTAATTATGAGGTATTTGAAGAAGATGAAAAACATGCTCGGAATAAGGAAAAAATAATAGGAGGACAATAGAAAACTGAAGCAAAGTGTTTTATTAAAAGCAGTTGATATATTTAAAAAAACATCAATAACATCAAGTTAATAATGATATGAAAAACAACAATACAAAAAGCTAAAAACACGAGAATTTTTTTTTTTGAACAAGACAAAACTAAAATCTGACAATGAATAAATATTTCAGATGTTAAACCAATGGAGAAAGAAAAACAGTCTTTCAAAGTAAAAGATGGCGTGGCAGGTGTGTGAAATACTCGTAACAGCCAACAGAGCTCACACCTGATCGGCGACGCCGTCCTTCATGTCCGGGCGGAAGATCAGCCTGACGTTACCGTGCTGTTACCTGTGCAGAGAGACACTCGTCGTAATTTCAACACAAATGCAAACCGGCTCTGATTTACTCACTCCTTACTGACTCACAGTCACTTTTAGGAATGAGGGCAGAGTGCAGGGAAATAACAGTTTTCCTGTGATCTGCCGTGAGTGACAGTCCTGGGAGCATTGCGCACACAGACGTGAGCTGCGGCATTGTCTGACAGGGCGCTGTCATCGCTGCACATGTATATAGTTGCAAAAACATAAATGGCTCTTACAGTGTGATGGATGCAGGGAAAGCAATTAAAGCCCTTCAGACTGGAAGCTGTCTTAGTCAAAGACAAAGCTCGTATCTGCACCTTTAAAGCAAGGCAGCAGACTGATTATGATGTGTACTACACACATGCATTTCTGTAGGTTCAAAACCGGGGATGTCAAACGTAAGGCCATGGGGCTAGAATCGGTCCGCCAAAGACTCTAATCTGGCCCACTGGACAGCTTCAAAATATGTGACTCAATGCACGGATTTGGACCTTTTAACTGTATTTTCATACATTTTACACCATTTTCTGTTGATTTATGGTCATTCATATTACACCAAGGTAATTGTAAGTAAAGAGAAACAATGAAATGACAAAAAAAATCCTGGTTTTCCACTAATTTGTAGTCTTTTTTTTTTTTTAACGGTCCACAGTAAACACAAAAACTTCATATATTATGATTATAGAATAGTTTGGGAACGAATTACCAGAACCTTTTCTGTCATTTTACTCATTTCTCATAAAGTTTTACTGCTCTGGCCTACTTCAGATCAACATGCTCACCTGCTGCTGCGACAGGCATCCAGGTCTTCCTGTAGCAAAGAGGCTCTCATCTGAAGGAAGTTAACCTGAAATAGAGAACGGCACGGGGTAATCTTCAACTCTTTCCACCATTGTGACGAGTTTCGAAAACGAAACAAAGACGTGGTTTGGTGACCATTAGAAGAGTTTTCTATGTTTTTACAAGCGTAACTGCAAAGGCAGAGACCACCTTCACTAACTTCTAATTGCAAATCCAATCATATCCATAATCAGGTCTGAAACATGACCGAAACCACTCAGGTTAGAAAAGAGCATCAAAAGCTACTCCTAGTTGGCTTTCAAGGGGTAAAGAGTTCAAATATATTCAGTATGAAGGAAGCAAGAACTGGTTCATCAGGACACAGGAATTGGAAGTGGAGAAGGGTTTGATTGATTTAGGTCGGTTGTGCTTTTTTAGAAGAAAAGCTCGGTTGTTGACTCCTGGGGTCACGACAGCGGGGGCCGGGGGTCAGGAGATTAGGGCAGCGGGGTTAAGGCACGCTGGGAAGATTACAGGCCCAGGTTAGCCGAGGTTAGGAGGCAGCACCGTTCTTTTGTTTGGCTACAAAGTGCCGGTTTATTTATGAAGTGTGCTTCGCTGAAGTGAAAATAAACTCCATCTACATTTACACGGCATCTAGAGCCTGGCAGAATAATCACAGCTCCAAAAGAATCCGCATTGTTCTGGGACTACCGTACTGGAGCCGAGGGTACATTCCTTTCTGTGGGGGAGACCTCAGTTCAAGTTCTAGCATTTCATTTGGCACTTCGCACTGGGAAAGTATATGCAAAACCATACCCAAATGTGGTTGGATGCCTCCAGAGACACGGAAACTCTCTGCACCTTTTTTTTCTTTTCTTTCTCAAACTATGTAATAAAATAATGCACTTTAATGTGCAAAACCCAAGACACTGTCAATAAGAGGAGAGGCCGCTCTGGTCATGAATCGCATTTTATAAACATTTCTGATCGCAGAGCTGCGGTCTGTCCAATGAAACGGGATCTTGGAAGCGCTATTTGAACAAGGCAGGGGTTAATGATGAGAGCGTTTTATAGAGACCTGCACTGCACGCTGTTATTATTATTATTCCAACGAAATTATTTACAATGTAAATGCTGAGACAAAGGACACGGCTCGGAGGAGAAACGTACGAGTGCGGTTATGCAAAGACTGACTGTTTGATCTGAGGGGAAGACAATGAGAGATTAACATTTGCAGAGAGGATCAGCAGGGTCCGAAGTGAATGCCGAGGCCCTGATCGAGTGCTACGCCGAAACTGCACGGAAGAGAGGTCTCACTCAAACAAATAAGTCTACATCTAGTTTCATACAGAGGGCTTTACCTCAGTTTTGATTGATTTATAACAGAAGAAAGTGAAAACACACAAAATCCTGCAATAACAACAAAAGGAAGTAAACACTGCAATAGTTTAGTAGTTAAAATAAAGAGAATGCTCTCCAGATCTCAGGCAATGGCTTATGTCCAACCTGATCTGTGATCACTTCTACCTGAGGATGGTATATTGTTTGTATGTGTCTTTGTTATGTGTGGTTTGTTGTGGATCTGCATACGATCACTTCCATACTGTATAGTTTCATGGGACCTGCCTGGGGGTTAAGGATGTAAATCAGCAGATATGATCAAATCTGGCATGTTTGCAGCTTACATCCATTGTCTGTATATCTACACCCAGCAAACTAAATCCACCCAGCAGTACCATCTGGAAAGTGTCTGAGTGGCAGAAAAAAATCTTTTTTCAGGATGACAATAATCTCAAATACAATGCCAATCCAAAAACACACAATGAAACATCACTCTCAGTCATGGATTGCCATCCTCAGAGCCCAAACCTCGACATTATTGAAGCAGTGGGGGATCATCTTGACAAAGAATATGAAAGACAGCCAACATCCAAAGAAGAGCTTTGAATACCCTTGAATAAGCCTGGAGATCTATTCCTAAAAACTACTAACAGATACAGTCATGTTTTCAGTTTCTTTAATAGAAATAAAGAATATTGTACTCGTAAACATATATAGATTAGTGTGTAATTACATCTTCCAACAAACTGATGCACTCTCATAAACTTAAAAATAATCCATAAAAATGCAAAGGAGCAGCTGTTGGCTCACGGGAGCCACCATGGCGCCCCGCCAGCTTGAATACAGTGGCCGACACGAACATCGCCGCTTTGCCTAATGGTGTTTCATGTATGTGGCTAAAGACCGGCCGAGTGAAAATTTTAATTTGTGTCTACCGCTTCAGATATAAAACTATAGAGTTATATATGAAGGATGGTACCCATTTCTCATTACATCCCCTCATTGTACGACGTTTTTTTTTCCTGCCACAGTGTCAGAGCCACTTCAAAGTTTCTCACTAATGCCAGCTAACAGCAGCTATCCTTAACTACTGACCTCAGTATCGCTCAGTATGAGTGTCATCAGGCTGAAGTGAGCTTCACTGACTCATCGGACACTATCAAACTCATTTCACCAAGTTTTACAACCTCCTCCAGAGTAAACAGACATGGACACATACTGAAAGCTGAGGTAAAGAGCTAAAGACTGTATATCCATTTCATTTTTTGACAAATCGCTGTACCTACTTCCCAGCTCAAGACTTTATAAGTTATAATGCTGTTAATGGAAGAAAATGAATGGATTCTCAATGAGATGCTCAACAGACTCAACACATCTTTCTTGCTCTGGTTTTGCCTCTATCAGATCAAACCTCACCTGAGCTTTCAGTGAGCTGATTGTGTCCTCCAGCTCCTGCCTGAGCTCCACCGGCATCAGACCTTTGATCTTCTCCTCATACTCCTTATGCACCATGGTTACCTGAGAAGACAGAGGTTGGAAAGATGCATAGTCAGCAAGAAAGTAAGGCACCACATTAATCAAATAATACTTATTAAGTAATATATAGTAATCATGCACTCTCTTGTTGTCTCTGATGCCCGAGAGACGCTCTTAAACGGTGTGCCTCAACTGGATAACAATTGTGGTATTGTTGCTGAATAAGTATTTCTTTCTTTCCACAGACACACTCGCATGTATGCATTTTCAGGCCAAACCAACAACTCCCTTAGATGAGGCGCGCACACACACACTGTGGGTATCCCCTCTTTATTCATGGCTCAGAGTATTCCCTCGCTCTTCACAGCTCCTTCACATCTCCACAGGGGGTCCGCAGACTGACATTACTCGCTCTGCGCAACACCCCCTACTGGATGATAGTGACTACAGCGAGATCTGACACAAAGCACTTATGGGCTCAAGACAGCTGGGTTTGGAAAAGGACAGGGCCATGGTGGAGGGCAGGACACATCAAACGCAGCAGCAGCGGCTCAATAGCTAGCTAGCTATCTCCACTGGGGAGGACTGGAGGAAGTCTGTCTGGGGCTAAATTACACTCCACTAAACCAGAGTCTGATTATAGAAGTTGAAAAGGGTTTGGTTAGCGCAACCCCCACTTTTTACCCAGAAACACACATGTATGGACACACACGCACGCACGCATGCACACACACAAACGCAGATACACGCTTTAACAGTATTGTAAAAACATTTACAGCATTTTTTGAAGAGTCGCCGAATCAATTAATTCAGAGCTTGATGAATAGTTTAACAGAGCTCGGGGGATTAATTCGACCCGTGAAAAGCAACAGTTGCCCCCCTTCCTCCCCAACATATTTCAAGGTGTAACCAGGGGAGAGAGTCTGAGCATTTTAAATGACCATAATGTGTTTTACAGAGCCAAAGTCCACTAGCGTTAAGAATATGCCCACAATCCCCACCTCTCATCAGTCTTTCAAGTGAAGAGAGCGTGAATGAGGTGGTGGGGGCGGTGGGTGGATGGGGAGGGGGAAAAAAAAAAAAAAAGATTGGTTTCCCTAAAATAATCTTCCTGTTGTGGATTTAACTGATTGTTCTGGCTTTGGCTAATTAATCTTCCTGGGCACAATGAAAGGGATTGGGAAGCACTTCAAAGCAACCCTCAGTATAAATGATCCCAACATGAAGCAGCTCACTTTGTCTCGGCACAGTGTGCTGTAGATTAGTCTGCCACAACTTTGCCAATTTTTCAGGCTCCGTCTGCCCTATTCATTTGAAAGTGTTGGACCAATAACGTCAGGCTGAGAATCCATCAGTTTACAAAAATATGTCTTTTTTTTTTTTTTTTTTGTCCGCGCTGTGTGAGAATGAAGTCAAGGATAATTTGAAAGAGAGGCCTTTAAAAAACAAGGGCTAAAAAACCCAACAAAACAAAACTTGGAAGCTTTAATTTGAATGTTCAGGATTTTTTTTTTTTTAAAAATGGGCTCAAGCGAAGAGGAGTGCAGATTTTCAAAATGTCTGTCTCTATCTATAGCAGCTCCTGTAGTCATAACAAAACGGCAAGCCAAGACAAAACACACTTCACTACCTCAGACCGAAGCAATAAACAATGGTTGAATAAACACATCCCTTACCAACCACTCTGAATATAAGTCTTAGATTCTTCAAAAGCCAAGTTCCTCAGTGTTGCATTCTTGATTCATGTATGGTGCCGTCACCGCAGCAACGAGAAATCCGCTTTGCCTAAATTACAAGCTCCTTTGCGGCAATGCTGTCTCCGTTTTCTGTCCCATACATTCGGCAAGGCAGCAATAACGCATTCACGGCGGCTGGATGATAAACATACGGTCGTAAGGGCGACAAACTAGAAAAGTTCATGTATTATATGACACGGTAAGGTCATACAGCTTACATTCGCACCAACGACTTCATGGTTATGGCGCTGAAAGAGTGGCTGCGAGAGAAAATATTACTTGAATTTTCTGTTGCTGTTCCCATCATAAAATAATATGATGGGAACAGCACAGCACATACATATTCCATGAACACACAAACACAAAAATACACCTCAAATCCAGATGAATTATACCTGTTATACAAATTTCCAGCTGCATATTTGTCATTCTTGGATTGTCCTAGAGTAGCTTTGGATGAGTCACAGTTCAAAATAATACGTTTATCTTTCACCGAGCCCTTTGTGCAGCTCAGTCACACAGGAGTAAAAATAGAAAAGCAGCCTGCATGTGATTAGGAAAAGTGGCGTTTTCCTGCTGATTGCATTGATCTTTTTTTTGGCTGCAAGTAGTTGCGGCGACTAACTGGTCCCCCAGAGGTTGAGGGTGTTGCACAACCAACTTTTTCATTGCAAAGCGATTGGACAGGTTGCCTGGTAGGAGGTAACCGACCTCCAAACAATAGTGATGTGACTCAGACTCACTACAATCGCTCTTAGACAGGTTGGTGAAGGCTTTGCAAATAACTGCCATCTAATTTATAAACACAAGCACAAGCAGATTGCTAACATGCTGCACCGATGAGTGCCCATTGTCTATGACGCTTTTCTTTGCAATAACAGACTCACCATAGCTGGCTGGCAGCTGGTTGTATTGGATCTTATATAAAAATCAAAGTTTGCCAAGTGCTTATGTTGTGCTGCAGTTAAATCGTAACTATGTCACTATCTGTGGAGGAATTGTTGAATTTATGTTTCAGATCCAAGAGATTCTGGATGGACACTAAATTTCTGTAGATGACAAGTTTGTCTTATACAAACAGATTACAAGTAATTGCCAACTTGATCTCATTTGATTGCAAACTGGTAGCAGAGCGACTCCATCTAACGGACTCGATTTTATTGCCGTCTTGATGCACTAAAGTCGCTCTGAAGACAGCAGCTGACTGAGAATAATTGCAGACCTGGTCTCCATCTTCAAAGCTGCCATTTCATAGGCAATAAGATTGCAAGTTAATTGCATAGCTTTAAATCAAATTTCTGATTGGCTGCCCCTCGTAAAGAGAACGTTTGAATAGCAGGTGATGGCAGTGGTGGTGGTGGGAGAGGCAGGGCTGCTGTGCGCCTGATGTCTATACTAACATTACAGGGATCCAAGAGTAGAAACTTGTGTACAATTTAGAGCAGCCTGAAGCCTGAGCTTTTGGCTCGCTTGTGCATACCTCATTATTTCAAACTTTGGCCATGTTTAATTTAAGCATCCACCACTGTAAGAGAGTACATAGGAGTACATAGGGAAAAGCATATATATAGGGCTCCTTTAACCTGAGGGTGTATTTCTGCTCTTTCTACAGTGTAGCAGACCACAACATTTGCCTTCCCTGATCTAAAGCTTAGCCACAGTTTACTATGCAACATGTGTGGGTGGAAGCAGGACTCTTTTTTTGTTCATAACAACACATCTAACAGACAGCAGTTACAGCATAAAGCAGACAAGAATAGGTATAATATCAATTCAAATTTCTGACTCCACCATGTCTCACAATGGAGTTAAAATTCAAGACAGAAGCATCTAACTCTCCGCAGATGTCTGACTCGTTTCCTAAGAGACGCCGTTTCTTCGACTTTGCATTTTCCTGCCCTATCCGAGGTCCCTCTGCTCGCATCTCTCCTTTTCTTCACGCAAACACATTTTACTTTTCTTTCAACATGATTTTTGCAGCAAAGGCATGTTTATTTTTCTGACAGGTGGAAGGAGACGTGACGGCATCTGAGAAAAAAGGCTCCTCACTTATTAGGACAGATGTTTGATGCCTTTGAACAATACTGCTGATCAAACCTTCCATGAGGTTCTTTGGTCACTGACGGACTGCAGATGCAAGTGAATAGGAAAGAAAAGAGAGGAAGGGAATCACAGAGAGAAAAAAAGTGCGCCACTATTTTCCCTGAGCAATGAAAGGGGACGCTGACTTTCTAAAGAGAAATCTGGTTTCATCTCAGAAGCTCTTTGAGAGATGATTTTGTTTGTTCTTGATGAAGCGTGATTCTCTAGTTTTGAAGACTGTGAGGAGCGGCAGTCGTTTTCCCCTCCCAGTCATCTTAAAATGACAACATTTCATCTATATATAGTCTTTAGATTGTGGTTTTGACTTTCCCTTGCGTTTGGTACCGTCACATGGCATGGTTTTTGACAGCTGCCAGCAGAAAGGAACAAGCCCTCAACACTTTCAACGTTCAAATGAAGTTTGTCACATTGTTGGGGAGGCTTGATGTATGCTAATGAAGTTGGGGTGTATGTGTGTGTGCACAGGCTTGCGTGGGACAGGTTGGGGGGGTGGAGGTGGAAGAGGGAGGAGGAGTGGGGGTAGCTGCTGGAAAGACATTTTTGATATACACCCTTGTTCCGGAGTGACAAAAACCTTGTCAGGAACAAGGGGGTACATCAAAAATGACGCCACTCACAAAGTTTGCGCCTCCACATCCACTGAGTTGGCACTCAGTGAGTTCACCAAGGAGCGATTTGAATTCAGAAACGCTTTGCTGCGAGAGGGAAAAAAGGAAACCGCTTCACAGAAATGAGGGAGGAAAAATAGAAGGAAAAAAAAAAGGAAAGGCAGAAGGAGATTAGAACTGGCTACAGATCTTAGTGAGGTTGTTAGAACTATGGGATGGATTGGTGGCTGCTGATGTAATGTGCCTCAACAAAAACAGCACACAGGAAAAAGGCTCAGCCTACAGAACTTAAGTTCAGCTCCTCTGCATTTTTATGTCTGCATCAATACTGAAAACAACTAGAGACATGATTTATTTTTTATTACACCGAGCTCCCGTGTTGCACAAGGATACATCTCTAAAACTTGTACAGTTCGCCATGCCCACTGTATCATTATGTATTTATATAAAGAGCTGTAGTCTTCAATATTCTGCTCCTGTCTTCAAGGAGAATTGAACCACACAGCGAGCTGATGATCTGCCATTTTAGAGTGGGGGAGCCTGCGAGGGCCCTGCTAGTGTAAGGCAAGCAACATCTGTGTGAAGTCTGGGCAGAAAAGCTGTTTTAGCATGAGAGGGATCGGATTACAAAGACACATTTTGGCAGATAAACCAGGGCAATATTATTGGTGTGTGGAGACTGGATACCTTTAGGTTTAATGGCAAATAAAAAACAATGCGCACTCTGTCCACAGCATCTCTAACACATGTATAATGTACATTAATCCTGATAGGTGCATGCAAACTAGTATGTCGTTTTCTTGACCAAGAGCATTATATGAGGCAGGAGTCAATATATCATGTAGCCAGTCGCTTCCACGAAGGTATAATTGTGACAAGCTGCGCTAAGAAACGATGCTAATACGCACCTACAAACATTTTCGACAAGATACTATAAAGTTGCCGGACGCTGACAATGGAAAAGAAACATTGTTCACATGACTTACAAATGCCAACATGGCCTCATAACCACTTATACTTCCACATACTAACTGTAACCTACATTCTTGGTCATATTTATCCATAAGTTTGCTTGGTAGT